TCACAAGCATCAATTCCAGCTGCAGCAAATGTGGGAATCACATCCCTGACAGGATCCACTGAGCTCTCAGTGTTCAGCAAAGCTCGACCCTGGTGGGGGCTGCAGCCCCTGGAGATGGAATTTTGGAGGTCTTGGCACATCATTTGATGCCACCTGTGAGGGAATCGCTTCCAAAAATGTTTGGGACTGAGAGGGACAAACACTCCTGACAGTTTCCTCTTTGGGAGCTCCTTGGTCTTGGATTAATTCCCATGCTGTGCTGATAAACTCTGCTGGCTCTGCCTCTGGGGGTTTTTGGTTGGTCAGGGCTCCCAGGGGCTCAACCCTGCACCCTCTGGCTTGCTCACAGTTTTTTTTTGGTGTTCCTGCTGCCAAAAGCTGCTGCACCTTCATTTTACAGAGCTTTAGAGATTGCCTGGAAACCAGTGGATGCTGTGCCCATGTGGAGAGCTGGGGAAATCCCAGGTGAAGTCACAAATCCCCACAAAAAGCCTCATCTCCTCCATTCCTTCCCCCCTTTCCCATCACAGAGCTCTTTCCCATGCAAAATCTTCCAAGGAGGTGATGTCAGGAGTGACCCACGAGTGTCTGAAGCAGATCAAAGCTGCTTTCTGCTTGATTGATTTGTTATTTTGCCTCTCTGGCACGTGGATATCTCCTGGCAGGTCGCAGTGTGCCCGGGGCTGTTTGTCTGCCCTCAAATCAATCTCACAGCTCATCCACAGCGGGAATTCCAGGGAGTGAAGGGGCTGGATGCTTCCCAAGCCATGGCAGATGCTCATGCAGATGGTGCTGGCACAATTCCCACTGACAAATCATCGAGTGGGATTGTCCAGACCCTCCCAGGAAAGGGACTGTGGGGTCTGGAGTGATCCTGCAGGGCTGGCCCAAGGGTGCTGATCTGTCCCTTGTCCCCTCTCCACGCTGGTGGCAGCGTTGTTGCCACACTGGGGGAATCTGGTTTTAGATATCTGAGGTCTGCAAGTCTTTGCTAATGGATAGGAAGAAGAAACCTTGAGGTTTAAAGCACATTTTTCCTCAGGTATTCCTGTAGCTCAAAGATTCTTTAGTTAAAGATGCACTTGGGAAGAGAAAGTTTGTTCACCAAGGGAGTGAAAAACTTCTGATGGTGATGCCAAACAGCCCAGGGCAGGGGCTCTCCCCTGTTCAAACCATCTCAAAAATTCACAGCACATTCTGAGGATGGATCCTTTCCTTCCTGGGAATTCCCCCAGGAATTCCTGACCCTGTGATAGGGCTGAACCCGGCTCTGGGGGTGTTCCCACCCTCTGCTCAGGACATGCTGAGGGACACAGCAATTTCTTCCCACTCCTTGGTCCAATTCTTTATTTACAGTATCAACAAGGGAGTTTGGGAAAGGATGAGCAGGATCCTGTACCAGCTGCTCCAGGACTTGTGGTTTGGGGCATTTGTGTCCCAAGCTCTGCTTTACAGCCCTGAGCATCCCAACTCTGTGGTTGTGAGGGTACCACCACAGCTGGGGAAGGAATGGCCCTTCCCACCTTTGGGACAGTGGCCTCAAAACTCATATTGTGGTTCAAAAATCTCACCTGGCTGCTTGTGAAGTTGTCTGAATGGTTTTTGTGATCTGAGTCTGCTGAATTTGTGCACTGGATTTTAATTTTCCCAAACTGACACTCTTCTTCCTGCAGGTTTTATCTGTTGTCCAATTTGTCTGGTTTTCTCTCGCTGGAGAATGAACAGAGCAGAGCCCTGTAGTGGAGGTTTCTCAGCCTTCTGAGCATCTCTCTCTTCTCCCCCAATGCAGATGAGGTGAACCTGCTGGACAAAATCACTCTCCATGCCCAGGACCTCAGCAATGTTTCCTTTGGCTACGACCACAGCAAGTGCAGGATCCTGGAGATCGGGCAGTACGCGACCCTCAGCATCCCCACCAGAGAGGCCTTTGGGGACAGGTAACCTCCCTTCAGGGGTGGGAATGGGCTGCTGGGGCTCAAAAATTATCTAAGGTGTGGCTGTTGTTTTGAGGGGTGTCGGAATCTGTGGTATTGATGATTCTGAGATTGTAGAAAGTCTCTGTCTGTCAGCCCCCTGCCAAAGCAGAAGCCATAATTGGTCTGTGCTGGTTTCCAGGTTGTTTATTCTGTTTATCTCTAACACGTTCTGCTGCCCTGCCCAGCTCTGTCCTGCAGGGCAGCGTGTGGGGCTCTGCCCTCAGTGGGATGTGACAAACATTAAATACCAGAAACTCCCTGGGCTGGATTTACAATAACGTGCCAATATCTGTCACCTACGTTGGACAGTGTGTCCCCAGCCTGAACCAACAGAAAAATGCCAACACCACAGTGAGACATGAAGGGCATGAAGAAGGAGAAAAAGGACAAGGCACACCCAATTTCCTCCATCTTGTGCCCTTTGGACCCCTAATCTAGAGTCCTAAAATTTTACTTTTGCACCCATGCCACACTTAATTATTACTTATATCAAGCACTGAGAGCTGGTAATTAATCCTGTAAGATTGAAAACTCTTTTCCATGGCCAGAGATCACAGCCAGTGTCTCTGGGGGCTCTGTCCAGGGGGGTTCCTGACCCCTGCCAGGGTCCCAGACCTGCCAGGGCAGCCAGAGGGAAGCTCTGGATTCCACAGAGGGGCTCCTTGGAGAGCCCATTCCATGATGACAGGGAGATAACTCAGTCCCTCTGTGCTCTGTGCACAGGGCTTCCTTAATTTCTTACATTTTAGAACAGTTTGTCCTGTCCCCTGAAGTGCCCAAGGCCAGTTTGGGTGGGGCTTGGAGCAGCCTGGGACAGTGGAAAGTGTCCCTGCCATGGCAGGGGGTGGGATGAGATGAGCTTGATGGTTTCCTACAACCCAAATCATTCTGGGGCTCTTTGATCATTTTTGGTTGGGTGCAGGAAGGACACCTTGGCATGGCCCCATCATGCTGAGGTTGTGTGGGCAGTGCTAATCTAGGCCTGGCTGCTTCTCTTTGAACCTCCCAACTGGAACAATTGTTGGCCTTTTTTTCCCTTTATTTTTTTTTCCTTCGCACTCATTCATTTGTGCCGTGACTGGAATTTTTTTATCCTAAGAGCTCAGTTGATGGTGACACTGCAGCAGTTGCACAATGGCACATGTCCCCTCTTTCCACCAGGTTTGCAGATGAGCTGAGCGTGCTGCTGAAGCTCAGGTACTCCCTGAAGGAGGACACCAGCCTGGTGACCATCCTCAGCCACCGCAGCCACGTGCTCTTCCAGATCAGGATTAACCCCCACGCCCTGGTCTTCGTCACCACGAGGAGGAGACACTATGAGTAAGTCCTGGCCCAGGCAATGTTTTCCTGCCTTTCCTTCCTTCCTTTTCTCCTCCCAAGGCCAAGGGTCAGGCTTTCCCTCTCTGGTGGGCTTTGGGCAGTGCTGAACTCACCGCAGCTGAAGGAAGGTGACGTCCCTCAGACCTCGTGCAGGTTGTCACTGCCAAACTCCACTCTGCCAAAGTGTTGCAGCTCTGAGAAACAAAGCAAGGAACAAAAAGGTTCAGGTGCCTGGGGATAAATCAAGACCCAAACCTCAGTCGTTTCTCATATGCCTCGCGTGGTTGCAGACATCCCCAAATCCATGGGAAACAAGTGATGGTGGTGTAACAATTCTCAGATTGTTCCTCGTGTCTGCACTGAGGATGGATACGTGAGGGACCCGGGAGCTGCTAAGGGGTGAAGCCTGCTCCTGGGTCAGGTGTGGGATGAAGTTTCCTGCTGTGCCTCCTCCCTTTCCCTCAGGTTCCCAGTGTCCTTCCTGGGCGATGGGCACTGGCACCAGGTGGCTCTCAGCATCTCCCTGGAGAGGCTGGAGCTGCACGTGGACTGCCGGCTGGTGGACAGAGTGAGCTGGTCCAACTATTTTGGGATGGGAGTGAACACCGAGGGGCTGATCATCATCGGAGGCCTCATCGAGTCCTTCGAGATCCCCTTTAAGGTGAGAGCTGGGCAGGGTCTGCTCTAGCTGTGTGAATGAGGCTGCAAGTTCCCTCTGATGGAATCCTTTTCCATTGCCTTCTCTTCCCAAAACAACATTTATTTTCGTGCTTGGGCAGGATAAACTTAGCAAAGGCTTGGAATTGTGCAGAGAGCTTGGGTTTGGGTCAGGTCACCTCTGGGCTTGATTTCCATTCATCCTCTGGTGGTGGCCATGACTTGGAGCATGCAGAGAAGTCTCTGTGCAGTCCGCATGGAAAGATCTGGTTGGGGAAGTGTCTCCAATGGCTTCAAACTTCCAAAGGGCGGGGATACATGGGATATGGGGAAGGAATTGTTCCCTGGGAGGGTGGGCAGGCCCTGGCACAGGTGCCCAGAGCAGCTGTGGCTGCCCCTGGATCCCTGGCAGTGCCCAAGGCCAGGCTGGAGCAGCGTGGGACAGGGGGAGATGTCCCTGCCCATGGCATTTTGCATGGAACACCTGAAGCTGGAGAGGGAACGTTCATTGCCCAAACCATCCTGTAAAGAAACCCCTGGCTATGAGAAGCTGGAGATGACCTCCCCTGCAGGCCCTTCCAGACCTTTCCCTCTCCTCTGGAAGAAGCAGGAGCACAAACTCTGGTCTCTGTCTCTTCCAGGGCGCTCTCCAGCAGCTGACCTTCGTGATGGGAGACCCAGGAGCTGCTGCTGAGCAGTGCCACAGCTACAACTCAACCTGCCCAGGCTCCTCCAGCCTCCACAGGGCCCCGTGGGAGCTCCCAACAGCCTGGCCAGAGGTGTGGCTGGGGACAGCTGACAAATTTAGGGACTGCTGGGCCAAGCTTTTTCTCGGTGTCACACGATTCCAAGGAAAAGCCCAACCCAGGGCGTTGCCTGGAATTGCTGGGATCTCCGGTTTGGGATGGGATATGAGGAGGTGGGGTGGTTCTTTTCCATCCCCTCGAGTCACAGATGGGTTTGGTGCCAAGGAGAGTGAGTTAAAGGGAGAGTTTGGGATCCAGGGAAAGCCTGGGGGTGGCTATGGCTGGATGTGCTCCTGTGTGTGGCACAGGAAAGCTCTGAGCAATGCTGCAGCTGGAGCTGTGCTTCTGAGAGGAGGTGCAAGCTGTCCTTGGGATTTGGACACCACTCTGCAATTCCTGCCCACTGCCAGCAGCATTGCGTCCTTTGGTACTTCATCCTTCCACAAGCTGTCCTTCAGTTCTGCCAGCATTACTGGAAAATGTAAATGTGGGGGACTTTGCTCTCGTTGTTGCATTCAACATTTTTTTTAAGAACTGTATCTGCATCCAAAAGCCCAGATCACATCATAAACCCCCCAAAACATGAAGCACCCAGGCTTTCCTCAGGAGCTGGAGCTGGCCCAGGGAAATTGCTCACATCTTAGGCCAGGTACCTTCACAGGAAGTGCTTCATAGGAGTCTGGAAAAAGCTGGAGAGAGGCAAGTGCTGGATGTCAGCACCTGGCACGAGCCTCCCCATGGTGTGTAACCCATGTCTGTGGGCTGGGGAGGAGCTGGGACAGCTGCTGGGAAAGGGCAGTGCCAAGGGTGTGCCGTGGGGCACCTGCCCTGTCTGGCTCCTGCCCAGGGGTTCCTCTGGGATGCTGGAGCCAGCACGTCCAGGCAGGGAACAGGGCGTGGTGGTGGCACCTGGGACAGCCCTGCAGTGGCTGCTGCACTCCCAGGGCTTCTTTGGTTTGTGCTGGTTGTTTGGAGAGGAGGATTTGTGGGAAAGCCCTGCTGACGAGGGATTGAGGAGCTGGCAGTGTGGAGCTGGCTGAGTCTGACACTGAGCTGCTTCCCTCCTGCTCTGGGGGTGACAGGAGTGGCCAGTGGAACCCCGAGTGGCCAGTGCAGCCCCTGGTCATCCCAAAATGAAACCTCCATTGTCCCAAGCTCTGGAGGCCTGGAGCTCTTCCATGAATGGCTCTGGGGTCCCGCCCATCAAGCAGAAAATTTCACTTGAAGCATCACTTTAAGGAAGTTGCCTGCAGGTTACCCCTGGGATAATTCTGCCCCACATCCCCCCAGTTCCCATCCCTTGCTGGCCCTCCTCAGGACTGAGGAGCTTCCAGATGAACAGAAACTGCAAAAAACCCACTCAAACTCTTGAGAGGTTTGATCAGAAGCCGTTCCCTGATGTTGCTGGGAAGGATTGGCTCCTACTGTGCATTCCCTGGATGTTTCCTGTGCCGGCAGAGGCAGCTCCTCAGTCCTGGAGCCAACAACAAACACATGCTGAAGTCAGTGCTGGTCCTTGGGCAGTGACGTTTTTCCTCTTGTCTCTCTCCAACTCTCCAGGTGCCAAAGGAAACCAATGAAATCCAGGATTCATCTACTCAGGTATGGCTCCTGCCCTGTCCTGCCTCGTGTCTCTGTGCTGTCACCCCCAGGCTGTCTCCTGGGGACAGGAGTTGCTCTAATAAGCAATAAGGCAAAGCTGAAATACCCAGACAATGCCACTAATTATGATTTTCTTGGCTCTTTTTGTTAATTTCTTTGCTGCCACCTCTCTCTTTAATGGTTTGAACGTTCCTTACTGTGTCCCAGACCTGGTGGAGGTCATGGTGAGTGCTCAGGTGACCTTCCTGAGTGTTTGCATGGAGCCAGAGGGGTGGTGGTGGGGCAGGGAATGAGGTGGATCAGCCATGGGGATTTGTGGATCTGCCTGGGAGCTGAGCCAGGCTGGATTAGCCCGGAAGGAAGGAGGTGAGGTCAGCAGGGGGGCAGGATTTGGGATAAAGCAGGATGACCGCTGCTCCTGCCCACAGTGGGATGTGCTGCCTGCCTGGGGAGGTGCCCCCAGGATGTCTCTGAGGAGCTGGGAAGGGCTGGAGCTCTGTGGGAGGGGGTGGTTGTGGTTCTGGGGCCCTCCTTGGCATGGTTTCCTGGGATCTGGTGCTGGGAGAGGGATGGGTGCCCCCAGCCCCACTGGAGCTCTGGTGCTGAGCTCTTTGGTGGAGCTGCTGTCCCCCAGCTGGAGCTGGGAGCGTCCCCAGCTCTTGTGCACGTGCTGGGGACAGAAGGGAGTGCTCTGACAGAGGCTGGCTTTATGCTCCTGCTTTATTTGGGGTTTTTAGCTAAGCTTTGTTGTTCAAGTCCACGCAAACCCGACAGAAATGCAAACTGAGATTTGTGTGTGTGTGACTGAGCAGTTCAAGTTCTTCATTCCCCTCCTGGCTGCTGTTAACTCTTTGGGGACAGGCTCTCTTCTCTCAGCTGGCTTTCACTGCCTGGCTACACCTGGATAATTCCAAACTGGACCTGGCCAAGTGGCCTTTGGCAGCTGGGTCCATCCCTCTGCTCCGGGCTCAGCAGCTCAGCAGGGACGTGCTGTGGGTTTGGAATGAACTGAGGTGGCAAAAATCACCTTTCCTGGGCACTTATGGAAGATGGGCTCTGCCATCCTGCTGGATCCTGTTTGGGGTGTGATTCCCACCTGGGTGTTCTTCCAGACCCTGGCAAGGCGTTGCCATAACAAGGAAAGTGGTGAAATTCATAGGTCTGCAGGGGAAAACTAACAATATTCTGGATTTGGAACATGTTTATTTTTCGAGCACTTAATAAGGAGCAGAGACGCCTTGGAATATTTGGCGCTAAGATTTATTAGGAATAAAAAAGGGGTTTGGCAGTGATGAGGAGCAGCCCAGCTCTGCTGCAGGCACAGGCCACAGCTCTGCTTCCTAGTCCCTTTGTTCATTTAGAAGTAAATCAGCACATTGGTGGATTCCTTAATTGCTAATTAGAGCTAAATAATTATGGAGGCTCAGGGTGATGGCAGAGGAAGATGTAATGGGGGAAGGCAATAGATGGGTTTGTTACTGGCACTGACACCTGAATTGCAGCCCACTCCTTTTGGCAATTTTTTTTTTTTGAGGAATAAATTGCCATTTCTGAGCAATCTCTGGGGTATGGATGGTGTTGAGCCACTTCTGCTGTATTTTGTTTTCTCTTAGACTGCCTGTTCTAAACGTGACAGGAGGGCTGAGCTGGCTCCTGAGCTGAATGGCTTTTCCAAGGCAGCTTAACCTGGGATCCTAAAGGCGTTCACCACACAGTCAAAGCTTACATCCCACAGATTTCCAAAGAGACAAAACTTCACAGGTTTAATGTTCTGGGCAGTCCAGCTAGTTGGGAAATTCCTTCTTGATTTAAAAATGCTGTGAAAGCTCTGTGGAAGCACTTGGTTGGGTCGTGGCACTTCTGTTCTCTCGTGCTTAGGTTTGTCAGTGGGCACAGCTGCTATGGGAATCGCTCCTTCAGGCTTGCTCAATCCTAAAATTCCATCCTTCCTGTCCAGCCAGAGCAGCCTGGAGCCTGTGGAAATTGGGACTTGCACATACTCCTGGTGCTGGGCTTCCGAACACCCGTCACAAAAGGCCCATCCTGACTAAGACAAACCCTCATGAGGGAGCTGTCCCTCCTCCACCCCACTGCTTCTGGAGCTCTGGGGCTGCTGGTTCCTTGGATAAGGTGGGATAACACCAAATATCCCTGTGGGAAATGTGACTGGCAGCTGGAGCCCAGCTCTGTCTCCTGCTCTCAGGCCTTATCTCGAGCTGCTGTTCCTGATAGCTCTGGTGTCTCAGCCCCTGCAGAGCTCACAGTCCAGTTTCTCCAGCAGGATAAGATCTGTGGATGATTTATTATCCTACAAACCCACTGTGGGATAAATGTAATGATAAATTTATTATTGATTATTTTGGTGTATTCCCTTCCCAAATCCAGCACCCAGGTGTGATATGGGCTGAAGCTCTGGGGCATGGCCCCATCCCCTCCCCAGGAATGAGGGCAGAGCAGAGGGGCTGTGCTGAGCTCCAGGAGGGGTTTATCCCCTCCAGAGCCTTGTTGTGGGGGCTGCAGCTCCTCGGGTACAACTGGTACCTGATCTGCTGCTGGCCACAGCCCATGGCATTTCCTGGTACTTATTCCTTCTTTAAATCAGTCCAACCTTGATTTTTGATTTTTTTTCTATGATGCAGCCTCTCCTAGGGGCTTGATGCTAAAAAATGCTGGAAAAACTAGTTTAAAATAGTCTATCTCTGATCTTGAGTGACTCACCTTGTACCTTTGGTTGTTGGATGGAAGAGGCTTCTATTAAAAAAAAAAATATGTTTCCTGGGAGAAGACCCTGACCTTTGAACTCTGTTTTACCCAGCCCGACCCAGCTGAAAATTAGGGCAGAATGTTATGCTGGTTGTCTGAGCTGCTGAAAACAGGGAAGCTCCAAGCTGGGCTTTAACCCCTTTGCCGCTGAGGAGTTTTTGGAGTGTGGCACAAGCTGAAAAGCCCTCCAGAGGTCCAGCAGTGTCGGAATCCAGGGCTTCCCTCTGGCTGCCCTGGCAGGTCTGGGACCCTGGCAGGGGTCAGGAACCCCCTGGACAGAGCCCCCAGAGACACTGGCTGTGATCTCTGGCCATGGAAAAGAGTTTTCAATCTTACAGGATTAATTACCAGCTCTCAGTGCTTGATAGAAGTAATAATTAAGTGTGGCACGGGTGCAAAAGTAACATTTTAGGATTCTAGATGAGGGGTCTAAAGGGGACAAGATGGAGGAAATTGGGTGTGCCTTGTCCTTTTTCTCCTTCTTCGTGCCCTCCATGTCTCACTGTGGTGTTGGCATTTTTCTGTTGGTTCAGGCTGGGGACACACTGTCCAACGTAGGTGACAGATATTGGCACGTTCTTGTAAATGCAGCCCAGGGAGTTTCTGGTATTTAATGTTTGTCACATCCCACTGAGGGCAGAGCCCCACATGCTGCCCTGCAGGACAGAGCTGGGCAGGGCAGCAGAACATGTGAGAGATAAACAGAATAAACAACCTGGAAACCAGCACAGACCAATTATGGCTTCTGCTTTGGCAGGGGGCTGACAGACAGAGACTTTCTACAATCTCAGAATCATCATTGCCACAGATTCTGACACAGCAGCACTGTTATCTTTGTCAATAAAACACTCTTAGGCTCCTCAGGCAAGATACCAAGTTAGAAACTCTTTCCAAAAGCATGGCATTAATTGCATAGCTGTGCTTTCTTTATTAATGAGCCTTGTATCAGTTCTGTTATTTCACTTGTGCTCAGCTTGAGGGAAGAGGTCTGTAATTACTCAAAGCTTCCCGTTTGCCTTTTTTTTGCCTTTCTTTTTTTAAGTTCCATATTGGCACAACACAAAGCCTTTTCCCAGTCAGTCCCCTGGAGCTTCCCCAGCTCTCTGAGCCAAACTGAGAATTCAGTGCTCATCTTGGGGAGAGCCTGAGGTTTTAATGCTTTTGGGGTGGAATTCTTGGACTGGGATTGAGAAACCTGTGCTCCTTGTCCCTCTGGAATGGGAAGTATTTTTTTGTTATTTGGTTATGTCATCTGTATTTTCCAAGTGTGGGCAGAACTGGGTTTCTCCAGCTCTTCCCATGTGGTTGCTGTGGTTGTGTCAGTGCCACCTGGCAGGTGACAGTGGGGACCCAACCTGTGGCTGGGGCAGAGACTTCTGCCTTTATTTTCCTTCTTTAGTCCAATTTTCTGCAAGTCACAGACCCTGCCTTGCATGTCACGTGCCAGTTCCTTCTTTTTTCCCTTCTGTTTTGTCATCCTTAATGGCTGCTTTCAATCTGGGCTCCTTCCCCACTTCCCAGCTGGAATTTCTGGGAGTTCAAACACACATGCTTCACTCAACTCTCACGCTTTTGGACAGGCTCAGAGCTGTTCCCAATTTGTCCCTCTCAGCTGGTTCTCCTCTAAATTTGGCCAGTTTGGAGGAGCAAGGATGGATTCTATTGATTTTGGCTTTTCGTTGTGTTGACACAAACCAACATAATTCAGCCTTGTGCCTCAGTAATTTTTCCTTAGAGCCCCTTTTCCCCTGAGCCTTGCCAGATGGGAGTTTCCAGGGTGGACCTTTCCCATGTCAAGTGTTGAAGCTGAATTAAAACCTCCTTTCCTTTACTGTGTGGGAATTCTGGGCTCCCAGTGCCAGCTGCCAGGCCTGGATGTGGCTTCCCACTGGGATTCTCAGGCTGGCACATCCTGTGGGGCTGTTCTGCACCAGCATCACCTCGTGGGAACCTGAACACTTCAGCTCCTGCAGCGCCTCTCAGTTCGTGGCTCATTCCATTGGGGGATTCTCACCACACTTTTCCTCACCTGCTGGTCCAGTTGTGTGGAAATCTGAGCAACCTGGCCTGTGGAAGGTGTCCCTGCCCTTGGCAAGGGTGGTGTGAGATGGGATTTGAGGTCTTTTCCAACCCAAACCATTCCCTGACAACATCTGCCACACTTATCCACAGGTAACTGTCCTTTGAGGGACTTGTTTTTAAATTTCTGGCTGCTGTTGCCCCTGGGGTTAATCTGCCAGTCCCATGGAGCAGAGAGGTGCTGCTGCCTTCCATTCATTTTTCACTTCAAGGTGTATAAAATGAGGCACCAAGCTGCTGTAGCTGAAACTTTCCAGTCCTGGGGATTGCAAAAATGTGTTTTAAGGAAATTACTGCTTTGGATCAAAACTAGAAAAATTGGTTGGAGGGAGAAGTACAGATCAAGTTGGGAAGCTGAAATACATTGATTTATTTTTTTTCACCATTAAAGGTGTATTTCAAAACCTGCTTTTAATCAGAAACCCCACAAAGCACCAAAATATAATGTCAAAACTGCACTGCTGCAAGGTTTAATTTCTGAAAGAAAAATTCTTTGTTTCAACTCTTTTTTTCAGTTCCCCGCTTCAGGTGTTTATGAAAGAAACTCTTCAAACCTAAAAGTTGAAAATTTAAAAGTGAAAATTTCCTTTTCTCCTGCACTTGGGATGGGAAGAGTTTGGACATCTCCAATGTGATGGTAGCAGAGTCAAAGCTTCAGCAGCTCCTGCTGCCTTTGGAGCTCCTCTGCCTCCCGTGGTCACCCCAAATGGGGCTTGGTTGGGCTCTCACCTGAAGGATCACCCCTTCAGGCAGGGAAATTGTTGTTTTTCCTGTGTGCTGCTCCTGCACATCCCCCTTGGTGCTCCCAAGCCAGTGGAGCAGAGCAGAATGGTGTCGGAGTTGAGACAGGCACAACACAAAGCAACACTGAATTTTCAGAAGGCTTCAAGCTGTTTTTATTCTAGATTCTACATTTTCTACATTCTTACAAACACATTTTTTCTGCATTCTTACAAACTCATAACTTACACTTTAGTCATTGGTCAGGAAAGACAAACCAAGTGCTCATTGGAACAGGCAGTGGCAGGTTTCTCTTATTTATCCCTCTTTCTTTCTTTCTGGGTTTCTATGTTAACAACCTTGGTAGAAAATTCTTCTAGGGGTGAACGTGGATCCTCTTCTCAAACTTCTCTCTGGCTCACAGAATTCTCTGTAAAATCTCTTGCACAGAACGGGAGCCAGGTGAAGGGCTCAGCCCATGGAATGTGGGAAGAAGGAAGGGAAGAACTCCCCAGGTTTCCTTCCCAGCCCTGCAAGGCAAGCGTGGGGCTGCATCTCCCTCTAGTGACTCCTCTCAGCTGGTTCCTCCAGCAGCTCCTCCAGCAGGAGCCACCAGGCAGGGCTGGTGCCACCAGCTCCAGGTGCCACACACTGTCCCTGTCCCCACGGAGCCTGGTGGGAGCACGGAGCAGGCTCCAGGCAGGGCTGGGGGCAATGTGGGGCTGCTGGAAATGCTGCAGCTGCTCCAGGAGTATTGCAAAATGAACCTGGGGGAAGAAATGGTGATGTCTGACTCCAGTTCAGAAGGCTGAATGATTTTTTTTATTATAACTGTACTGTAATATATTAATATTCTATTTAAAGGAGATACTAAAAACTACATACGTACTCTAACTACCATGTTTAACTAACAACTTAGGACCCTCTCTGCGAGTCCAGCCCCAGGTGGGTTGGATTGGCCACCAGGCTCAAACAATCCTCACCAGAATCCAACCCAGCACTCACTCCAGGTAAACAATTCTCCAAACACATTCTACATGGGAAAACAAGGAGCAGAAATAGAAATTGTTTTCTCTTTCTTCTCTCTGTGCTGCTCTATGAAAAATCCTGAAAGAAAGAAGGATGTCCTTGCAGCACAGGAGAGCAGCTCCAGGACCTCCACATTCACCCACAAGCCCAGCCTGAGGTGCTTTCACTGGTGCTGGGTGGGATTTTGAAATGCAGGGAACTCTGAAGTTTCATTCCTTTTCCACAGTGGGTGTTTGTGTGTTGAATGTGGAGATTTCTCCCAGTGTTGGAGTTTTCCCCCCTCCAAGGGCAGTGGCTGGGCTCTGCTGTGGATTCCAGGGCTGACAGAGCCCTTGAGACCTGCAGGGACCGTTCAAGGTGACAGCTGAGGACAGAGGGAGCCCTGTGCAAGTCACTGCCCTAAATGCAATTGCTGGAAACATCCAGGAGGCTGCTCCTGGACTGTGCCTGTCTCCCCTTCCCAGCCCTTGGAGGTTTGCAGCTGCTCCAGTGGGAAGTTGTGTGCTGGGGGCTCCGAGCTCCCCTCTGACCTGCTGGCACCATTCCCCCAGGAGAACACCAGGGACTGGAATGTGCAGGAGCAGCAGAATCCAGAGGCTGAAGGGACACATCGATCCCTGCTGTAACTCTCAGTGATTGCTCTGAAGATTGGATCTCTGTCCTTAGGCTGTGGGCTCCAGGCAGAGCTCAGAGCCCCTCGAGGGCCTGAAGGGGCTCCAGGAGAGCTGGAGAGGGACTGGGGACAGGGGATGGAGGGACAGGACACAGGGAATGGCTCCCACTGCCAGAGGACAGGGATGGATGGGAGATTGGGCAGGAATTGTTCCCTGGGAGGGTGGGCAGGCCCTGGCACAGGGTGCCCAGGTGTCCCTGGTGGAAGGTGAGTCTTGGTTTGTAGCTGGGTGCAGTCTCCTGCTCGTTCTGGATGAACTGTCCCAGAATTTGAGGGCTCCTGCCTGGGGCTCACAAACTGTGCCCTGCATTGTTCCCCCAGCAGCATTCCTACATGTGGGAAATGAGGAATTATAGAATCACAAGGTCAGAAATGACCTCCAAGGTCATTGAGTCCAGCCTGTGACCTTGTCACCCAGAGCAGAGCACTGAGTGCCACGTCCAGTCATGCCCTGGACTCTCCCAGTGCTGGTGACTCCACCACCTCCCTGGGCAGGCCACTGAGCAGGAAAGGGGGAAAAAAATCAGTTAATCCTTCAAATTTCATTTTTTCCCTTCTCTCTTTTCAGGATTCCAGACTCACCAGTTCAGATTCGGCCCCGGGGTCACCTTGGCCATGGGAGGATGCCCAGGGGACCCTCAGCCTCCAGCCTGATGGGAGTGCCCTGGCTTCCCTCTCTGCTCATGAGTTGCCATCAGCTGAGGAGGAGGAGGAGGAGGAGGGCAGCCTTTCCATTGAGGATGAAGGTTTTGAGCTGCTGAACTCCACCTACAATAAAATCACCGGTCCCGGCAGGCCAGCGCTCAGGAGAAGCTCAGGTGAGTCCACAATTCTCCTCCTTTTCTCCAGCACAATTTCTGGGAATCTGACAGTGCTTCATCCACCCAGCAGCCTCCATCAAACCCCCCCGAGCAGCCAGGAAGGAGCGTGGCTCTGATCCCCGTGAGGAGAACGTCACCACGGAGAAGCTGTCGGGGGACGCTGGCGCGCGGTGGCGGCTCCCACCTGGCAAACCTCACCTGGACCCCGTCCCCAAGGTGTCCCCACCTGCTCATCGGGGGGCTGCTCCCAAAGGAAACGTCCCCAAAGGTCCCCTGAGGGCAGGGGTAGCGCTGGGTGTCCCGCAGCCTCCTCTTGGAGCGGGACACCCCGGATGGTGGGTGGCACCTGGAGGCCAGGGCTGTGTGAAGCCGGGACCACCGGGGCTGCCGGGACCTCCCGGGCTGCCGGTGAGTGGAGCACGGCAGGAGGGGTGGGTGGTGGGCAGAGGCTGCTGAGATGGGGGAAACAGCACAGGGAAGGCTCCTCCAGGGTGGGAAATGTTCCCAAGAGTGGAGAACCTTCCCCAGGGTGGGAAATGTTCCCAAGGGTGGGAAACTTTCCCCAGGTTGGGAAACCTTCTCCAGGGTGGGAAATGTTCCCAAGGGTGGGAAACCTTCCCAAGGGTGGGGAAACTTACCCAGCGCGAGAAATGTTCCCCAGGATGGGGAAGCCTTCTCCAGGATGGGAAATGTTTCCCAGGGTGGGAAACCTTCCCCAGGATCTGGAAACTTCCTCAGGGTGCAAAACCTTCTCCAGGATGGGGAAACCTCCAGCATGGGGAAACCTTCTCCAAGATGGGGAAATATTCCCCAGGGTGGGAAATGTTCCCCAGGGTGGCGAAACTTCTCCAGTATGGAGAACCCTTCTCCAGGGTGGGGAACCTTATCTAGGGTGGGGAAATCTTCTCCAGGGTGGGAAACCTTCCCCACAATCTGGAAACTTCCCCAGGGTGCAAAATGTTCTCCAGGATGGGGAGACTTCCCCAGGGAGGGAAACCTTCTCCAGGATGGGGAAATGTTCCCCAAGGTGGGGAAACCTTCTTCAGGATGGGAAACCTTCTCCAGGGAGGGAAATGTTCCCCAGAATGGGGTATCTTCTCTAGGGTGGTGAAACTTCCCCAAGTGGGGAACCTTCCCCAGTGTTGGAAATGTTCCCCAGGGTGGGAACCTTCTCCAGGGTGGGAAACCTTCCCCAGGGTGGGGAAACTTCCCCAGGGTGGGGAAACTTCGTCAGGATGGGAAATGTTCTCCAGGATGGGGAAATGTTCCCCAGGGTGGAGAAACTTCCCCAGGTGGGAAATCTTCTCCAGAATGGGAAATGTTCCCCAGGGTGGAGAAACTTCTCCAGGGTGGGGAACCCTCCCCATGCAGGCACAGTGGGGCTGTGCATTGAGCTTGTGAAAAGGTTTTTGATATTCCTGGAGAGTTCTTCAGAAACATCACTGCAAACTGGAGAGAAGATGATTGCCTTGTCCTCCTTGCTCTAAAGATGATCTCAAATCATTTAGCCACACTGTGAGTTTTTATTTCACACTGGTCCAGCCCAGAATTAGGCTGAGGGGACCAGAGTGGACCAAACCATCTCCTCCAGTCCCCACACAAACCCCTGCACCCACCCACAGACCCAGCTGGCATCGTTGGCTTTGGCTTCTTCACCCCCAGAATGGTGCCAGGTTCAAAGCAGAGCACTGACTTTATCTTTTCATAAGTACTCACTGTTTTTCAAGTCATTCGGTCATTGCAGAGGATGAAAAAAGGGAAATTTAGGGG